CCACAAAACTTCTAATCATAGATACCATTAATGCTGGACCTGTCATTTTTCATCTATTTTGAATGATGTTAGTGCATTGAATGGCCCAAGTCCTTTAGTCATTTTGATGGTGCTTTAGATCTAAACCATAACTATACTTCCCCAAAAACTAAAATTTAAATTTTGACTTAATTATACCTAACTGGAAAAGGAGGTAGTCCTTATGATATTGTTTTTTTCCTACACATAGTATTAAGACAACTGTTTTAGATGGGGAGGTTCTGATATATACACATTTGAAAGATTTAAATAAGATTTCTAAGCTTGATTTCATATTAAAAACACTGGAATCTTGCAAATGGGTACTTCAGTTGAAGCTTTTTTTTTCCCCACTTTTAAGTCAGAGTTCTTTCTGTTGAGTTTCTCCCTTTATCTTATGGCTGCCATCTGTCTCCTATATCCCTATGATTGGATCTGTTGAACAAAGAGTTCAGTCCCATTCATCAGGATCATTAATGTTGTTCAACAATGCAGCAAAATAATGGGTCTTCACAAAGGGGAAAAGAGGGCTTTGAATGCATAAGGCGCAGATGTCAGGTAACTAAAGAAGCCCTGTCTTTATAAACATCAGCATGTACAAACAAGTACCATGTCTTCAGAAAACCCTGCCCATTGTCAGCCTTTCATAGACTTCAAAATGTAAGATATTTTATCATTATTATTATTATTATTATTAATGTATCCACATTGACAACAATACATTCATATGCATTCTTCAATACCAAGTAACACCCTAGAGTTTATCAACAGTTGGTGGGCAGGGGCTTCCAAGGAGCAAAGTTAAAAAGGCACTCACAAAATCTTTTAAACCTGCATTTTTAAAAAGATTTATTTATTTATTTGAGAGTCAGAGTTACAGACTGAGAGAGGCAGAGACAGAGAGAAAGGTCTTCCATCCACTAGTTCACTCCCAAATGGTTGCAACGGCCGGAGCTGGGCCAATCTGAAGCCAGGAGCAAGGAGCTTCTTCCAAGTCTCCCACGTGGGTGCAGCAGCCTGAGCAGTCAGGGCATCTTCCACTGCTTTCCCGGGTCCTAGCAGGGAACTGGATAGGAAGAAGAGCAGCTGGGACACAATCCGGCACCCATATAGGATACCAGTGCCACAGGCAGAGGCATAGCCTACTTTGCCACAGTGCCAGCCTCTAAAACCTGCATTTTTAACAAGGGCCTCAAAGGATTGTAGGTTTTACCTGAGAGTGTGATTTGGGAATGCAGTTTTTATCTTCCTTGTGTGTCAGATTAAATATATAGTAAATTACTCATGAGAGTCATAGAATTTAATAAAAATAACTTTACAGAAAGTATTAGTAGATGCCTACGTACAATATGGATTAAAATATGAAATAAAACGAAAGATTTTGTATGAAGTAGTATCTATAAAGATTCATATGCTTACCAAAACCTATACAACAATATGAAAAATTAATGGCAAATAGAAATAAAAGTTAATTGAATTTAATTTGTCTTTTGATCCAGAGTTTGGTCAAGGAAACAGACTATGCTCTGTTTTCAAGATATACAAGGGTTTCCTTTGAAAAGTAATTTATTTATTTATTTATTTTTATTTGAAAGGCAGATAGAGAGGTCTTCCGCATCTGGTGCACTCCCCAAATGCCCAGAACAGCTGGGGCTGGGCCAGAACTCAGTCCTGGTCTCCTGCACGGGTGGCAAGGGACCTCACTACTTGAGACATCATCTCTGCCTCTCAAGGTACACATCAGCAGGAGGCTGGAATTGGAAATGAAACTGGGACTCAGACTCCAGCACACTGATGTAGGATGCTAGCATTGCAAACAGAATCTTGACCACTGCACTAAATTCCTGCACCCAAATATGCGAGTCTTTAGTACAGGGAATCATTCCATTTCACAGCCAATAAAAGTACTGTGAGAGGTTGTGAGAGTTCCGAGACCTTGGCTGTCTTGCTCAGAATGCAGCTGTAAGCTGTGTGATTCACACCATTTCCCTGGAGCAAGCTCAGTGGTCGGCTGTGTCTTTTCTCCACACAGCTGAAATTTCTTTTTCAGTTCTCCTCACTCACTCCCCTTCTTCCTGGAATTGTACTTCTCAATAAATATTAACAGTTAAGTGTAGTCCTAGGATCTGTCTTAAGAGAACTTTAGGTAAGCCAAGCACCAGTTGGTCATTGGTTTTGTATCAGGTGTTGGACACAATAGCTTCATTAATAAAGCGCTTGAGCAGGTTTGTTGGGGGAAGGAGAGTCTGTTTCAACCATTTCTGTTCCCTACCAAGGATGTAGCTTTTCAATCTTTCGTTGTTAGCAATGGAAGCTCAAAATGTGATTTTGATACTCATTTTCCTTTCCATGGATCAAATGCAGAGATAAGATACTGAACTTACTTTGTTTCCATGTTATAAAGAAAAAATGCTTTTTGAAAAAGGATGGAACCTATTGGAGAGGAGGTAAAAAGGTATTCTGTCATTCTATAAATATCTACAAATACATAGTCCATAGGTTCTCTTCCTAAAGATACAGCCATATACCAGAATGCAGAAATTTTTCTCCTGTATTTTATTGCCCTAATACATTCTGATTTAATGTAATACCAAATTGAAAACTTGAGAACAAAATGGCTTTTACCAAATATGTTCAACATTGATATTTTTTCTTTGCTGCATAGTAAAAATGAATATAAAATTCACTTCCTATTTTCAAAGGTGATTACATTTTGAAAATAAGTTTTCAATATCTATAAAATGCAACATTTCTTTTTTTTTGTATTAAAGCATGATTAGGCACAGTTCTAAATTGGAATATAGAAATGTATTAGAAGAATTCTTTGTAAGTCACATATCATGTTTTTAGAGATAGACTTTTTGAAAGTTGTCAGAATCAAAACGGAATCACTTTTGTCAAGACTTAGCCCAAAAAAAGTAAATAAATGGAGCTGGAGGTTATGAAGGAGAGGTCTCAGGTATGTGTGTAACAGCAAGAATTAGTCAAAAAAGACTGCCAGAACCACAACCTTGTGCAACGTCACAGCAACCTTGCACCAAAAAATACTTCTGCAAGGACGTCTGCCCAACCGCAGTCTGTTTAATCTTACACTGATGCCACTCTGGTTATTGATCATTGTAGCCAAGGATTATTGTGTCAAAATGTCTTATGTAATCCTCCTGATCTCACCTTTAAAAACCTCCCTTTGCCTCAGCCTCTTTGAATCCACTCATAGATTTCCGAGATATGCATATTCCTGTTAAGATGTTCTGCTATTCCCAAATAAGCGTACTTTTCCTTTGAAGAATCTCTCTCTGATTGTGGGTTAGGTTTGCAGTTTATAGAACAGTAAATACACAGATATAGAGGTAAAATTACATCTGGTAATGATGTAACATGTTTGCTGTTATACTGTTGGAATAGCTGCCAAGTATTTGAGTATGTTTACAAATCTGTTAATATTACTGAATCAACAAATTTAGCTAACAGAATTATATTCAGAAAAATATATTAGAGAAATAACAATTAAACTGAGTGTGTCTACTTCTTAAAACTTTTCATGAAAAACTATACTCTTGTTTCTTCTAGACTCCACCCATTTCTCCCCACCCAAATTTAAATAGCTTAAAAGCAAATAACTGACATCTTATTTTATCTGTAAACATTTGATCATTTAATTAAAAGTTAAGGACCCCTTTTTAAGGAAAAGCCTAATATATTTTAATACTGAAAAAAAAACCACAACTTTTAAAATATCTAGTCAGTGTCAGATTTTTCCAAATGCCTCTTATTTTTCTGTTTGCAGAAAATCAGAATCCAGTAAGAATGAAATGAGGTTGTGATTTGCTGATTCTCTCTCAAATCTGCTTTATAGACTCTCAATAACTTTTATTTTCCTTGTGATTTACTTATTGAAGTAGCTGTGTGGTCTGTGTAATTTTTCCTGTGCAGTTTCCCACAGTCTGAAATTTCCTGATTGCTCTCAAATGATATTAACTTATTCTAAAGCATGGTGATGTGTAGTTCCTCGACAAACACGTAAATCATGGCCTCTTCATGTTCCGCCAGCAGCCTTGGGTGCTCATTGGCCAGAATCATTGTAACAAAAATGATATTCTGGTTCTGTCTTTAGTGCCTTAACCAGATTGTGTTTATACAGGAGAACTGCTCATCATCTCCTTGTTTACCCTGAGACATGGTTTCTCCAGAAAAGGCGAGATGTATGCTTGATGGTTTTCCCAGATGACATGGCTCCTGGTCAGTTCTTGTGCAAATGTCTCGCTTCCATGAAATACTCCGTCTCTCTTTTTTTCAAAAAAAAAAAAAAAAAAAAGCTTATTTATTTATTTATTTGACAGGTAGGTTTACAAACAGTGAGAGGGAGAGACCGAGTGAAGATCTTCCTTCCAGTTGGTTCACCCCCCAAATGGCCACTATGGCCAGAGCTACGCCGATCCGAAGCCAGGAGCCAGGTGCTTCTTCCTGGTCTCCCACATGGGTGCAGGCACCCAAGCACTTGGGCCATCCTCCACTGCACTCCTGGGCCACAGCAGAGAGCTGGACTGGAAGAGGAGCAACCAGGACTAGAACCTGGGGCCCATATGGGATTCTGGCGCTGCAGGCAGAGGATTAGCCAAGTGAGCCACGATGCCAGCCCAGTACTCCATCTCTTACCTGTTCTGGCCTTTGCCAGTTTTAGATTTATAGTAGCAACTAATTTGTGATAGTCAAACAATAATCAAACCCTGTCTTCAATATTTGCTAGTCTAGTCTGTATCAAAATTTCTTAGCCTATATCAAAATTTCCTAAAACATTAGACTAGAAAAATAGATCCTCACTTGTTAGCTTAAAAATGCACAGAAACAAGAAGTTTGCTTTATTTTCTTTATATAGTAATTCTCCTTTATCCATGGTTTTGCTTTCTGTGATTTCAATTATTTGCAGTCAGCTGCAGTTCAAATATATTATGTGAAAATTTTCAGAAATAACAAAGTTTTAAATCACTTTTATTACAGTCTTATTACAGTATATCATTATAATTGCTCTATTATTATTAATTTTTATTAATCTTAAATTGTGCCAGATTTGTATGTTAATGGATACATATATATAGTCAACAGGAGCATATATATAGTTTGGTACTGTTGGTAGTTTCAGGCATGCAGTCAAGGTCCTGGAACACAATTCTCCTGAGGATCAGGGTTTTCTACTGTACTTGACATAACTAATAGTTATCTACATATTAATGGGCGGGTTAATGATGTCATATGCTTCGCAGTTACAAAGAAGGTTTTGCTGCCCCATTTTACCATTAGCCTAATTGAAGCTTAGCTAAAGCATAAGACACACATGTTCAATGTCACAAAAAAATCTGTAATGTAAGGAAGCTGGATTTGAACCTAGGTCCTTTGACACTACAGTCCTTGCACATACACAGCATGCAACAGGACCTGCATTCTTGATGTGTACCAGCAAGTGAAATACTGTGAAAATAATGGCTTTACTGAATACTTCGAAGAGAAGCAGTTTAGAGGGGTTATACTTTATTAATTTTATAAATAACCCAGACATTTTTGCTGTATAAAACAGAGGTTGGGCAGGGGAGGATGATCCACAAGCTTTCTTGGCCAGCTGCCAGTGGCACAATTTTTAGCTTGGTCTTCTGTCTGCCCCTTCTTCATCTTTTTGCCTACCTGTTGTTACTTCCATTATGAAGCCATGTTGAGGTGTTATTTACATCAGACATATTGGTTAAACATAAGCCACATTGGCTGGGGAACTATTTAATCTCTTTGAGAAAGTCTAATGAGACTCAGATTATTTCTCCACTCTTCCAATTTTTGATGAAATTTTACCATTTATGATTTGTTTCCCACAGTAAATGCAAAGCAAAAAGACATTTAATGAAGAATATTAATAAAGCTATGACCATTTCAGGCTGAATTTTGTGGTATCCTGTTTCTGTGAAGAGATACCTGGAAAAATTGTCTGGCCATGTCTTTAATTTTCTTGCTTCAAACATGAGAAGTCTTCAAAAAGTTCATGAGAATGCATATTTGGAAAAAACTATGCATTGATTAAAAAAAAACCTTGCACCAAAATAAAATTAGGTTTTAATTCCATTTTCCATGAACTTTTTGAACTATCTTCAGATATGTAGTATCAGTATTCACATTTTAAATAAGAATTTGTTTCATTGCCATTATTTTAAAATAAACTGGAAAATATATGTTTATATTGTAAATGGTTATATAAGTTAAAATTCAGTAAATAGTAAAAAATTGCATAACTGTTCACCCTTTATCTTTCAACAAACTTTTAATTGTTTTCTTCCAAATGTTTTCCCTTTGCATCTGAATTCTGCATAGATTATATCCACAATATGTATAACACTTTGTATCTGCTGAACATTATACTACAAATACTCATTTTGTTACGTAATTCCAATGTCATAGTAATATATGTCTTTGTGTGAATCTATTGAGTGGTTAGTTGGATGATAATTTTTTAACTCTTCATTGTCCATTGAACATTGATTGAGTTGACAATTTTTACTGCTGTTATTGATCTTGTGGAAAACATCTGTGGATTATAGCTTCTGACCATTTCTTGGGTAGCAAAGTGTTTGGGTAAAAACTCGGTACAGTTTTAGGGTTAGTAGCCCATGCCTCCACAGTGTTCTCCCAAAGGTATTGTATAGCTCAAAATTCCAGTAGCAATATTCAGTGTCATTTTTTATACCATCTCCATCAATATCCTGGTGTACACATTGTATGGAAGATTTTTAAAAATATGTTTGTGATTTTTAAAAAGTGAAGAATAGTACCTCATCACATTCTTTTTCGTACTTCCCACTTTAAATATTAGAGTGAAGAAGGAGCCCCACAGGAAGGAATTCTGGAAGCTATGCCCATGGATCCTGACAGTGAAGCTTATGAAATGCCCTCGGAGGTGAGACTTTGAGAGTTCAAGTTGGGTCTTTCAAATAGGCAACACCAAAAATCTGTCACTGCCAGACTCTGTGGAAAAGTTCTATGGAGAGATGGTGTTGACCTGGTGGTGAGAAGACAGACACTATAACTGGGCAAAATGAAGGGAGGCCATTTCTACAATCAGGGAATGTCAGAAGCAAAGACAAGTGTGTCTGAGAATGTGTACGAATATGTCAGAGGAACAGAGGTAGTTAGGATGCAAGTCTAGAGAACAGAACAGTGACAGCTTAACATTGCAGACAAGTCAAGACAAACTGTAGAGTACTAGGGCAACCTTGCACCCTTGCATGCAAGTTTGTATTTTAATCAGAAAGCAACTTGAGAGGTAGACACCACGTAGGAGGCCTGCCTTTCATAGCAGAGTGCCTAGGTTCAGGTTCTGCATCTGCTTCTGATTCCAGCTTCCTGCTCATGTGCACCCTGGGAGGCAGCAAGTGATGGCTCAAGTACTTCGGTGACTGCCACCCACATGGGAGATCCTGATGAGATGTAGGCTCCTGGCTTCAGCCTGGCATAGTTCTGGCTCTTTAGGCATTTGGGGAGTGAATTGGCATATGGAAGATTTCTCTGCCCGTGTCCCTTTCTGTCTGCTTTCCAAATAAAATGAAATGAAAGGATTGTTTTAAATAGAAAAGAAATGTTATTGAAGGAATGTTTATTTGTTTACACTCAAGCAGAATGCTGCTATTACTAGAATTGTTCTCTAGACTAACTTGAACTCTTTAGTTAAGACCATTCATATTTTTATTAAGGATGTTATGCAGATATTGTGTCAGGGGACTTGGGCTTTGGAATCAAAGTAGTCACTGAAGCCATGGATAAAGATGAAACTTCCAATAGAGAGTGAAAGGAAGGAAGATGTCTCCTGCCTCTAAGTGTCTTCATCTGCTTCTAAAAAGTAGAGTGTCTCGGCCCTGGAAGAGGCTCTACAGACCACTTGATTTGGTTCTGACATTTCCAGTTGAAGAAACCGAGTACTAGATAGTCTGACTCATTTATCCCAGAGGATTTGGCCAGGTGATTCACATTTGGAAGTAGAACCCAGATATCCTAACTCGGACTGCTACCCTGATTCACTTTAGTATCTGACAAGTAAGAAAAAACTGTTAAAAAATGCAGTTAATTTTGTTTGTAGCATCTAAAACCATCAGCTCTCCTGCTACCAACCAAAAGAACCTTATTTTTACTCAAACTGGAAGACCTTATTCCTTTAATTAGCTTCTCAACTCTCGATGACTCTTCCCTTCCACTAACACTGTATGTCGTCTTGTTGATTTTTCTAATACTAGGAAGGGTATCAAGACTATGAACCTGAAGCCTAAGAAAGACCTTTGCTCCGTTGCTTCAGATCTGCTGACAGATGTTCCATCCTGTGCAAGTGCTCAGTTCCAATGTGCCCAGTCATGACATTTTCTCAGAGTTTGTACAGTGTATCTTGAAGTCTTCCATCAGCAGTGATTGACGCATCCGCACCTGCCCCCACCCAGCATCTCGGTGCTTCCCTCTCACTGAAGTGAATATATGGTAGCAGGGTCCTTGTGTGCTGTGGATGTTGTGGCTTCAAATCTAAAATGTTAAAGCAAATTAAAAACACCTAAGTGACTATCACTTATTTCTAAATCTTCACTATTTTTTTGTTGCTGTTGTTGAAAAGTTGTGAGTGACTATCACATATTCTAAGGTTTTTAGGTGTCTTTTAATGATTTTTCTGTCTATGAATTGATGTATTGTGAAATTTGTTAATATATACAATATATAAAATGTGAGCATGAAACTATGCACCTATAAATATTAACTATGAAATTTTACCATTTTGTGATGTTTTATTAACTTGTGTTTATATATAAATGGTGAAAACTAAAATAAAATGTAATCTCATTACAAAATATTTTTATCCCACTTCATTTTAAGAATATCATCATGCTTATTAACAGCATGAAATGAGAACTGACACAATGAAGTTAAACACAGAGTTCCTAACATCCATTTGGTGAAGGAGCAATTTTTGAGGCGTTCAACAGAGGGGAAAAGACATTAACATTACATTCTGGGCATTCCACTGTGGCCAGCGTGTATTCTGATATCCACTGGTCTCTTAAGAGACTGTCCTGGAAAAGTGGCTTCCATGGAACTAAGAAGTGTAGCAAATGATTTTGTCTACATACTGTTTAGATATTCCTAAGACTCTGAGAGAACCTGGTAAGCATCCCCACCCCAACCCCAGTTTTGTTGAATAATCCCAAATCTTTTTGTTGTTGTTGTTGTTTCCGTTTCCAGGAAATGCCTTAAATTATCCCTAAGAGATCCCAGCTTAAGAAATGCCTACTCTCTGGATTTGTAGAAGTCTCATTGACTTCCTTAGATTCTGCTACCTACATGAGAGCTGGGATACTTCTTTAGGGAAAGTGTTCCTCCTTTGGGAAGCTCCATTATTCTCCATAGGTGCTAATAAAATAAACCTGACTCTGAAAACTGTATAATTTATTAAAAAAATTCACGTTATCTATTTAATTATTCAGGATAAAAATGGCATAGCTACTTTTAAAAGTCACTAGAAGAAAGTATAATTTCAAGAAAGAATATTCTAGACCTGCTAGAACTTTATGTGGAATCAATGAGACATTTGATATACAGTGGACATTTGCAAGAAGGACTGTGACTATAAGCATGGTCATCATAGAAACTTCCATTTTTTCCAAATCAGAGACTACTACTTAGTGCTAAGCTCCATGTATAGTCTTACAGTAGAGAGAAGTGGAAAGTCTCACTGTGTTTAAGTTATGTTTAAACAAGTGAAAGACTCATTGTTGAGCAGTGTATTTCAAAATAGGCTGTAAACCAGTGGTTAGGATATGTTTTCAATCCAATAAAGCACTGTATTTTAAAAAACAAAACATATTGATAATTATAAAAATAAAATGAGAACAGAATTAGATTGAGAGCAGAGACTGAGAACAGTTTGAGTTTAGAAAAGCTGTCAACCTAAGGCAGGTATCATGGCATAGAAGGTTAAATCACTGCCTGCAATGCTGGCGTCCCATATGGGTGCCTGTGTGAATCCCAGCTGCTCCACTTCTTTTTTTTTTTAAGATTTATTTATTTATCTGAAAGTCAGAGTTACACAGAGCGAGGAGAAGCAGAGAGAGAGAGAGAGAGAGAGGTCGTCCATCTGATGGTTCACTCCCCAGTTGGCCTTAATGGCCAGAATTGTGCTGATCCGAAGCTAGGAGCCAGAAGCCAGAAGCTTCTTCCGGGTCTCCCATGCAGGTGCAGGGGCGCAAGGACTTGGGCCATCTTCCACTGCTTTCCCAGGTCACAGCAGAGAGCTGGATGGGAAGTGGAGCAGCCAGGTCTCAAACCGTCGCCCTTATGGGATGTTGGCACTTCAGGCCAGGGTGTTAACCTGCTGAGCCACAGTGTCAGCCCCTGCTCCACTTCTGATCCAGCTCTCTGGTAATGCACCTGGGAAAGCAGCAGAGGGCCCCTGTACCCATATGGGAGATCTCAATGAAGCTTCTGGCTCCTGGCAGCCATCTGGGGAGTGAACCAGCAGATGGAAAATCAATCTCTCTCTCTAACTCTGTCTTTCAAATAAACAAATCTTAAAAAAAGAAAAAAAAAATCTGTGAACCTGAACTTAAGGATTTATATTGGTAGAACTTCTACCAATGTAAAGTGTTTTGTCCCATAAGATCTATCTGTAAGCCACACAAGTCTCTCTCATATTCATTCTGGAGACATCACCTGAGGTCACACTGGCCTTATGTTTAGTTTTTGGATAGATACTCCCCCCAACTCTGAGCAACTCAGTCTTACATGGCTCCATGGGGACTTCAGCAAAGCAGCTCAGGACAGGCTTCGGCACACGGTTGGCAGCAGAACAGTCTGAGGCATCACTTGGCATTCCAAGGTGGAGTTTTGAAAAAAATCTCTGCACCAGTATGAGATGCGAAAACATTACCTCATCCTGTTGGCTCAACCGGTAAGTAGCTATTTGTGACATCATAAAATGTATGTATTAAATTTTTGCCAGTGGGGCTTCTAAAACTCTTGCAAATCCTTGAGAGGTAGGGGCTCCAGGTTTATCCTTTGCTCTAATATCTGGTTTTTGACTTGTTCCTGACTCAGAGTTCCCAAATTTCTTGGAATTTCCCTAGTGATAGGACTGTCTCTTGTTCTAATGAGAAAACCCTTGGTGGGCTTTTGGATGGAGAGCGGGGCTGATGTTGGTGATGTGGGACAATGAATTTATTCATTTTTAAACCAGGTGTTGTCTCCTGCAGAGATAGAAATACTAAGTGGAGACTGGTGTTCTGTGAAAATAAGAAGAGTTGTTTGGTACTGAGGGAAGGAACATACATTCACACCCAAGCATGGGCTGCCCCACACAGAAATGCACAACATGAGTGCGCCAAAGACTTGCCCATAAACTAGGGAGAAATGGGAAACTGAAAATGGTACCTGTGGTAGGGAAGCTCTGATGATAGGAAGGCAGGAGAGTGGAAATGTTCCATTTTTCAAGCACTGAAAAGATGGGCAAAGCACCTCCAAGTGAGGCCCAGGGCAGAGGGACTCTAATAACTTCTACCTCCTTTTATCTCTGTGTGCAGGTCACAGGTGCAACAGATGCATCATGGGAAAGCAGATGTTTTTGACAGACAACTAGGGTATGTGGGGACTTCTGGCTCTGTAGATCCAACTAGCTGCTGCCTATTTCCAGCTCTGCAGACCTGACTAGTTACTTGCCTATTTATCCCACATCACAGGAGACAAAAAGTGTAATATTTCCTTCACTCTTCACAGGGATCATGATTGACACTCCTATAACAGATTTAAAAAAAAAATTATTTTTTAACTGGGTCAGTTCTTTTTTTTAACATTTAGTAAATATAAATTTCCAAAGTACAGCTTATGGATTCGTAAGATTTATTTATTTATTTGAAAGGCAGAGTTACAGGGATGCAGAGTTAGAGAGAGGTCTTCCATCTGCTGGTTCACTCCTCAGATGGTTGCAAAAGCCAGAGCTGTGCTGATCCAAAGCCAGGAACCAGAAGCTTCTTCCGGGTCTCCCACGCAGATGCAGGGGCCCAAGGAGTTGGACCATCTTCTACTGCTATCCCAGGCCATAGCAGAGAGCTGGAACAGCCGAGACTCGAACAAGCGCCCATATGGGATGCTGGTACTGCAGGCTGCAGCTTTACCCGTTATGCTACAGTGCCGGCCCCTTACCACAGATTAACAAGAGAAAAGCCTCCAAAATTTGTTCAACACAAGCTTTACCTGAAAAAGGAGCCTTCAGAAATGAAGAAACAATGACCAAGGGAAAACCATTTTTAAGCTTAGTTTTGATGAAAATGGATAGTGGTATAGAAGTGAGATTGGACCTAAATGGATTGTGCCTTAATGATAATCAGTTGGAGGGAGTCTAGCAAGGATTGTGTGTTCAGATTTGTCTTGGCCTCTCTCTCTAATCCTTCCCTCTGGGCATGGAGAAGGACCCTGGCACTTGCAAGTCTTCGGGTGGGAGAACCTCAAAGACACCTTCCTGCTTCTGCAGTTCTCCCATTTTCCTTCAGCTTAAATCACTTGGTATGGGAAAGTGCTATATATCAAGGTTTTCTGTTCTGAGTCCCTACATAGATTATGAGAAAGACAAAAGCTATGATTATAGAAGCTTGGAATGTTGAGCCTCTCCTCGGTGGAGTGAAGAGCTTAAGACTGAATTAATCAGTGAACAATCTTCCTTGATGAAGCTTCTCTCACGTACAGTTCAGAGAGCTTCAGGATAGGTGCTCGGAGCTGATACACTCAGGGCATGGAAGTCCCCTCCTCCAACCTCCTTTGCATACCCTGCTCTCAACAACTTTTCCATCTGGCTGTTCCTAATTGCATCCTTTTATAACAAATGGGGAATATAGTAAGAAAAGTATTTTCCTTCCTGGATTCTCCAAACTGGTCTAGCAAATTACTAAGCTTGAGGAGAAGGTCATGGAGACCTCCAACTTGAAGTCAAGTCAGACGGTCGTTGTGGAAAATCCAAGGACCTGCCACATGCAATTGTTGTCTAAAAGTGAGACTAAGCCTTTGCCTGTGGATCTGTGCTTATTCTGGGCAGATCATGTCTAATGTGAGTTACAGGACACTCAGTTTATGTCTGCTGAGAATTAGAGAATTGCTTGGTGTGGGAAAAACTTACATACATCTGGTGTCACAGTGAAGTCGTCTGGAAATATTGGGTGTTGTGAGTGAGTGTAGAAGAAAGAACAGTTGGGTTTTCCTTTTCACTTTTGGATTAAACAAATACACACACCTCAAAGATAAACAGAAATTCTCATAGATATCACTGTTTAAAATCCATAGTGAGAAGGAAAAATCCTTCTTTCTAACTGCAAATTGACACACTGCCTCTGTCCACTGCACGGATGGCATTCTGGCCATCTGGGATGAGCTCATCTCTCTTTGTTCTTTCTTTCTTGGGTATAGCAGGAATGGAACAGAACTGGCACTCTGGATATACCTTTAAAAATTATTATGCATCAAATCTAGATGTCAGAGATGTATCAAAGGGCAGTCATTTAATTCTTAAAGCAACCCTAGGAGTTCCCACT